AAACTTACATATCTATTACAGATATACAATCTCCCCTTAAAAATAATTTGCCCCCATATGCCTCACTTATATAACCTACAGAACCCTCCTAAATTAGACGAACAAATAATCCAGAGGATATATCTTTGCTTCAGGATATTCTCTTTACAGAAATTAAGTAGTCTGGTAATTCTTTACCGGCGCGCACAATTTTCTCTCTCTTTCTCTACACGCAGGAAGTTAGAGGAAAGAATGTTTTGGTGTTATTTACATAATTACAATTGTATCTGTCAATATTATCTAATTGCATCAACATTCAATTTCATACCACATAGATGCTAAAATATGCTGTTATTATTGAGGCTTATATAAATATTTCAGCATTAATGAACAAGAAGCTGCTCAGCATTTCTGCTACCCCTCGGGCCCACATGATCTTGTACCTTAACAAATACATTTTTGCGGAGGAACTTCTCTCTCAGCTGCACACACAGCATTGGCAATCGTGAATGGCAGTTTCTTAAACCTGGGTTGGGAACAAACCCAACACATGCAAATTCTTACTAGAAAACATGTCTCATAATGAATTGAAAAGATAGTGCAACCAACATGACAAGAAACGATTTTAGGGAATCTTAAACAGACTGATTAATGCTCCTTCTTATTATAGACGACAACAACAACAATTTATTGTACAATGAAAACTCCTGTATTTCTTTTGTTTCAGTTTAGCTATAGTTACTATATAGTCCAAATACAGAAGCTAGCTTTGAAAGGACATGGATTATTGGCTTTGATTTGTTCCCTTAATTGGAAATCTCCCCTGAATATAAGACATGAGGCTTTCTTCTATGCCTGATTTTTTTAAGTGGTGGAGTGACTTCTTTAAGAGTGATTCTCAACCAGGGTGTTACAAGATCCTTTTAAGAGTGTTGTGTAATATTAGCACTGCTAGGTACACAAATACCAACACACGTAAAACTAGAAATTTCAAATAGGAATCCATAGCGTCAAAAATGTTCTGGCCTGCTGTGGTCTAAGATCTTTGCAACAAAAGAATTGTTCTATTTTTTTTTTTTTTACTACAGAAAAATGAGTGAAAGCTAAGAGCTGGCATTTTCTGAGGGATGCCTTTATTCTAAAAAGGTTGAGAACCACTGTTTCACGGACAGATGAGTGGTAATGAGCTTCACCAGCGCAATAAGGGTAAAGGAGTAGAAAGTCTGTGTGAACAATTTGAAAAAAAAAATTCCTCCAATAAAAAATGTAATGACTTTGCAATTCTATAGTAATTTTCATTTCAGAGTTTCAAATACTCACTGACAGTTAAAGCTCAAAAATTGTAAATAACTTCAACCAGGCTTCTAAAGGCAGTGTGTTGCAGGAGTATACTCTCCATTACAACATGATAGCCTCACAGAAAGCTAGGTAATGAGAAAAATGCTGTAATTTGTCTATTGAAAATCCAATTAGTTTAAGCCAGTATTTATCAGATCACTTCCCTTAAAACATTTTACTTAATTTTTAAGTGAGTTACAGTAATTTGGATTGGCCTATCCTTCTCTCACTTAACTGTCCAATCTTTCAGACAGTTCAATTGACTTTTGAACACAGAGGAGCTCTATAAAATGCGGTGGGAGGCCACTAAGCATATGTGAGGGTCCCCTTGCATTAAAACAAATTCTCAGGTATCAAATGACAAAACATATTGAAAGCTTTTAGAGGAAAACATTTCAAACTGATGAAAGAGCACACAGAAAACGTGGAAGAAAACAGTGCATCTACCAGAAGGATCTGCTATGCATCATACTAAAGAAGCACAGAACTGGCTACCTTCAGTCTACTAGAAAATTTTCGCCACTCTGCAATTTTTTCCCTTTTATTGACTCAGTGGGAACAGTACCATGAATGGAAGATTGTGAAAGATCCCATGAAGTTCTTTTTGAGATTGACCTTATCATTTGTGAAAAACAGACAGCCACAGAGTTTACTAGATATGAGTCAGCTATGGTCCAGCCATATCAAAGGCTGTAATGTGTCTGTAACAAAACGGCTGGCAGTAAACAAGAGTTGCATGAAAGGGAAATGACACACATCAGGGTGCAGTCACTTCCTGGTCTGAGCATTCTGTCTTTGCCAAAACAAAAACAATACTAAAAACCGGGCAAACATCCTCCATGACAAAAGGGTGAATGTACAATACATACGGGTATTGTTCGCAAACTCAATTTGTGTGTACCATAGTATGCGCACAAAAGTTTAGACTCAATCAGAAACAAATCTGACTCATAATATTATGTGTTAATGTCTCTATCATGCGCGCGCGCGCGCACACACACACACACACACATACAGAGTCAACATCATTGACTCAGTTACTATGGTCTCAATTTTCCAATGTATTATATTCATTTGTTCTTGGTGAGAACCAGTGTTCTTGAGTAGTTTTAAGACAACTCAGCGCTTAATTTAAAATTCTTGTGCAATCCATCTGAATAGACTGTGAGGTCAGAGCAGAATTCTTATTAGCTTATTTTTGTAGTTAGCACTTGAGTCACCACTGCTAACCAAAGTTCCTGAGGTTTTTTTTTTTATGTATACTCCAAGATATAAATAGTGCATGCCCTCTCTCTTCACATCCACACACACTCAAATTACATACACTGCATTTAATAAGTATTTTGTTGTAAAATATAAATGATACATTTTCATTTCTGAGGTTAAGTTTTAAACGCATTATGGTGACTTTTTCCAAAAATCACTGGCTGTTCATGGTCCAAAGCTCCTATTTACTATGATGCTCATAGTCAATGGGAAAGAACAGGTAGTGGTAGAATCTTTGCATTTTAGGCACACCTTATAAATTTGCCATGGATTAAGAATGTGTGTGTTCAGCCAGGTGACATTTTTTGGCAAATAGTATATTCTCCAAAAAGCATGATTTTGGTAGTACCTTTTGTAATATTTGAGTGAAACTTGGCAAAAAAATTTGGCAAAAATAACCAAAAAAATTCAGAAATGCGGAGAGATTTCATTTTTACTTTTTTTATTTCAAAGTTGATTTAAAGGAAATATTTTGGACCATCTTGACCTGAAATAAAAACTTGGTTCCTTCAGTTCACAAAAAGTGCCTGAAAAGTTTTCTTTTCTTGCTGCTCTAAAATGATTTCTCTTCAGTTTGTTGGTTCTGCCAACAAACCCAAAAAATCTATTAATTTAACCGTTCAGTCTAGGTTTCATATATATCCAGTGACTCACGAGTAGACTACAATATAGAAAAGGACCTGTTTCTACATTATTAGATACACACATTATAATCTTGAAAGTCCACTATAAAAACCCCAACAAACCACAAAAAAATTTATGTGCATGTTTGTGCACACACGTGTGTATACATGTCATATGGTTTTGTTAGAACATTCTTTTTAGCAGTTTCTTCACCATTGCTGCTGGTAACAGTCCTTCAAGTCTTTGAGCCACTATTATTCCCTGCCTCTGTCCTCCCTGAAGAAATGCAAATGATGCACTTTCCTGCAGCAGGAGAATCTTACCCACTACCCCTTGGGGAGAACTACGGTAGATGTGCTTGTAAAATCTTCACGTGTCTGTTTGTTCTTCCTTCATTCCCCCATGCACTTTGCACCCATGGAATCTTCAGCACCTTTGGGGAACACATGGTCATAAGCGGATTAATGCATGGGGCCCAGGGGCCCCTGCCAATCAAGGCCCCATTCCCCCACCCAGGGTGCCTGGGTTCCCACAGGAAATGGCAGGTTTCCCCTTGCAGGCGGGCAGCACATGGCCCAGAACACAACTGGGCAATATGGAGAGCTGCTACTTGCAGGTAGGTGTATGGGGGAAGGGGTGTGGGGGGTAGATAGAGGCCCCTACAGTGAGGGAGGGAGTGGGACAGGGGCAGGGGACACTGCCCAGCCAAGGCAGTGCATGGGACCCAGGGCCAGGAGCAGGATGGAGCAATGGACAGCTAGTCCAGGGGCTGTGGGGGGGAGCGGCTCCTCACCACTGTGCACACCCCTGAGGAGAGGCATGGGGGGGGCATATGCCACTCCCATATTTGTGCATGGGGTGGATGAGGGCTGCTTGTTGCAGGCATGGGGCTCTCTGTCCTGCTGCCTTTGCCTTCGGGGCCCTGTGCCAACCGTGCACCCCCTGCTTGCCTGGTAGCCATTGAGATGGTGAGTTGTGCCTTCTACTGCCAGGCAGGCAGGGGATGCGTGGCCCCTGGGACAAAGGCAGCAAGGCAGAGAGCCCAAAGCCCACAGCAGGCAACTTGAATCTGCCTTCACCCCACTTGGCTCCACTCTGGCCATGAGGGGTGGGGCAGGAAGCAGGGAGGAGAGGCAGGCATGTGCCACCCCACCCCCAGCCCACCATCCAGCCTCTACTGAGGGCAGAGGCAGCACCAGTCTCTTCCTGGTGGGAATCTGGGCTGGGCTGGGCTGGACTGGGCTGGATGCTTGGGGGGCTGTAGCCACCCCAAAATTCACCTTAGCCACTCCATAGTCACCCATCCCAGTGCTGCTGCTGCCACCCACCTGCCCCAAGCAGCTGAGTCGCCCCACTCCCATCTGCTCTGACCCCAACCCTGGCACATCCCCCCTCCCCTAGTGGGAAGAGGCTGGTGCCACCCATGCCTGGAGCATCACACCTTTGTGGGCTAAGGTGCGAGGGGTGGGTGGGCAGTGGCAGCACTGGGAGGGGTGGCTATTGGGGGAGGCTAAGGCAAATTTTGGGGTGGCTATAGCCCCCCCAGATCTCCCCTAGTGCCATCTCTGCCCACAGGGTACAGACGCCCACCCCACCCTTGCCTTGGCAGCGGCAGCACCAGGAGGGGAAGGGGCCGCAGTAAATCTTAATACATCACTGCACATGATGGCATGTGTTCTGGACAGTTTTTAGGGAAAAAGAAAAGGGAGGAGAGTGGAAAAAACAGCAAAACTTTTTCATGATAAAAGGTACTTATAAGGTCTGAAAAAACGTATGAAAAAAAATCTTACTACCCTTGGAGGTCCAAGGAAGAAGACAATGTCAGAGTACTTCACTGGACTTCAGCACAAGTCACTGGGTTTATTTTTCATTTAAGATAGAGGCTTAGCTTGCCAGGGATCCTTGACAGGCACTGGGGGAAGAGAAAAGAATGTGTGAAGGGGCATAGGTGAAGTGTGACAGTACATCAAGAAAACTGGAAGGAAACACAGAGTGCAAAGGTATAAAGATAGAGAGTGCAATGGGGAATGAAAGAGCTGGGAGGCAAGGGAAGACCTCAAAAGTTACAAGGGGTAAAAAAAACCATATACCATTTGTCTGGCCTTCTCATTCACTTCCTCCAAGGTAAAACCTTTCCATTCCTGGGCATAAATGAACTCCTTCGCTTTCACTTCCCAGCACATGCAACTCTTGCATTGCCAGAGTGCATCCACCCCTAGCTTGCTCCCTTCACAGCTAAGTCTTTCAGTGCTACAGCTGAAAGACCACTTCCACATTCTCTCTTCAGCAGGTGTAGCTGTTCCAGCCTAAAGCCAAGTGAAATTCAGAATCTTATGTATCCTTCCTTCTCAAGTGGAGAATTCAGTACCTTATAAAAGAATTAGCCAGAAGTTTTGGAGGTCCTTGCCTGAATACAAAATTCCTTGGGGATGCTTCTGGATGAAAGGTATTTTATCAATACAAGATACTACTATAACATGTTCTGTATTTGAACTTTTCTGATCACTGACCCATTGAATGAAGAATATATGCAAAATTTTTGTCCTGACGTACTATTTCCCTTTCCTTCCGTGTCCATCATAATTCACCCCAACTCCATGCCATGTCGTTTAAATTAGTGAAAATGTATGCAGCTAGAGCAACGGCCTTTAAAATTGTCTTAGCCAATAGTATTAATCATCATCTGAGATTTCAAATCATAACCAGGAGACACAGCAGTCATGACAACTCTGCAACATGACAGACTATGCAGAGCAACTTGGGGGAAAAAGGAATACCCTTTTCTATCTGCCAGCCTCTGTGCAGTTGGGGAAGCATGTTAATAAGCATGTTCATTTCAATGGTCTTTACTGTAACAATCATTTTCTTGCTCTGCTGGAAATTTTTATTATATTTCTTTAGAGTAATAATATTAATCAAGGCAGTGACATGTGGCATTATCAAGGGAATATCATAGCCTAAATAAGCCTAACTACAATGGAATCACCCATGAAAGGCAGGGTTCAACACAGTTTTTCAGAGCTCCCACACATACATGTACACACACACACACACACACTTTTATTATAATGTTTAGATGAACAGAGACAGCAACAATACTCGCACATTGTTAGTGAAAAGCATATATCAGCATTTAATAAAATATTCAAATAATAGAACTCGGAAAATAAGACAGATTTCCTTCTAATAATATAGGGCCTGGAGGGATTTCATTAATTAAAAATACATGTGCCATTTATCATCACTTGCAAAAAGGTGTAATTTATATCTCATGCTGAAATGAGAGAGATGGTAAATTTTCATCAGGACTTTTGTTCCGAGTGTTCCTGTAAAACCATGCTTACTTGCACTTCACTACAGATGCAAACTCATGCACAAGGTTGGTAAAAACCAGGCTCCTGAACACATGAGCATGAGTGCGCGCACGCGCACACACACACACACACACACACACACAGTGTGGGTTGTGTTGGTAAAAATTCAGAATACTTGCTCCTTTAGGGAAGTTTGCAAATGCAAACATTTGAGCATGCACCTCACATTTTTCAGCATGTAGGCATAATATCTATGAGCAAAAAAGAGACTGACCTTTGAAAATGTAGGCCATGGATCAGAATATGTAAACATGTAAAGCAGTTGATGGCTAGAGAAATCCTCAGTAAATGACATTTTAGGGAAATTCGTATGCACCAACTAAGCTGCACTACTGAAAGGTTCAAAGGAGCACAGGACTGGAAGGGGCTACCTGTCATAGACTTCTGTCCCTGTAACTGTAGGCAAGCATGCAATAGACCTTGAATCAAGAAAGGTTCATAAGAACATCTATTCCACCTCCAGCTCCCCACAAGCTACAAAACACCTCCTTAAGGCACACACTTTAGTTTCCAATTCTAGAATCAAGCCTATTATCTCCTAAAATTTCCTGCCAATAACTAATCAAGCTTCGTCTCCAAAGAGCCTAGGTTCTTTGCCCCCAATAAGCTCCTTGAACACCAAGAATTTATTCCTCTCATGGTTAGATACCTTATACAAATTTTCAGCATACATTTATTTATAACTAATATATGTCCATTTGATCTTGTACCGGTATTATTCCTTAAGTTAAATAATTTATCCCCCTCTTTGATATCCACCCCCACAAAACTGTATTAATCCCCTTCACCTCCACCTTAAATAATAATTTCCTGTGAAGTGTTGAATCAAATGATAGGACAAACCAAAGGTAAATCATTCAAGGCAGTCAACACTCACCCAGGGTTAAAATGCTTTAAACTAAACGGTCTCAACAAATACTCAAGGCATTCTGCATCAGACTCTTACATGGATCATGTCTTTCAACAGAAAAAAAAATGCTAACGTAGTCAGTGAATACAGTCTCTTGAGAGACTGTAAAATGCCACCATTCTGTGTACTTTTTCATGCAGTTATTTGTATACAAGCATATGTATACAAGGGACTTGCCAGAGTTACAGACCTTGTAACTGTCCTTTATGCATTAGAAACCAGGAGTGCCTGCTCTAATTACCATTTCATTCCAGCTCTGCTTATCCCATCCTAGTGAGTTTGGCAAGAGGAACTTCGTAATGTCTTTCAGTGACATTCAAGCCACAGCACCATTTGTGTTCTACACACTTCTGGGCTCTGATTTGTTAGAATTACCTTGACCAAAGAAAATACATGTTATCGACTGAATGCCACTAGTTCCAAGGCCTTCCGTTTAGATAAAGACAGGAAAAAAACTTAAGTTTTTATTTGAGCATCTGGTGGACATGTACAATAAGATGTTTTGACATATTCTAAGAATGGTCAACAAACAAGGCCAAGTTCTTTCATTTGACCCATGTTAAAACCAACAATACTGCTTCTCATCTTAGTCAGTACTAACTTTAATCTTACACTTAATCATGTCTATAGGAAAAAATTGTATCCATAACTTTTTGTACCGCCAAAATTAGTAAAATGCATTTTTATACAATTGCAACTAGAATGCCTTAGACTTTAACTATTTGAAATACTTGGGATGTATAAAAGAGTACAGATACAATTTTAACAGAAGTATTTGGGCCGCTTGCTCTCTGTGCCAATGAAGACACTTAAGCTCCTGTCTGAAGGCAACTTTTAGTAGAAATGAGAATCTAAGCTAGTCTTCAAGGCAGGGGTCACTTTAAGCCTAAGGGAACAGTTACTGATATGTAAAAAAGGAAAACTGCAAAAAAAGGCATTCTTTTCCTCTTTTAAGGTTACTATTTTAAAGTTTAAATCTGCTTTCTCTTCATCTGATAGCCACAGGCTCAACTTAAAATGTTGATGCCCTGGGCAGCGTGGGTTGGGAGGGTGGGGAAATGAGCACGTATCTCCTTACAAACGGGATCCTACCTCACTATAAGTTCTTTGAATGTGGGCTACTGTCATGGCAGTGGCAGCATGGGATCCCTTAGTGGCTTCCATTCTGGCCCTGCTTTGAATCAGGGCCCAGGGTGGTGTCCCAGCCCCCAGGTTACACTCCTGCTGGTAACAACTTGTTTGTGTAGGTTTAATTAATCTTGCCTAGTGTAGTTAGGGGGACCATAGATCCCAGTTTCACACAACAATCTTGTTTTAAACACCAATCCAGGCATCCAATTGGTGCCTTCAGATCAATGCTTTTGTCCTCGGACAGCCACTGTCCCAATAAAAATGGGACTCTTCCCTGCTCTCTAGTGCTTTCTCCCCACCCATTCACCTGACACTACTGCTCCTGCTCTCTGGTGCGCTCGGTTATTGGAGTACTTCGAGACAAATGAGCATGCTGGAGAGGTAAAGGGACCATGGAAATATGCATCCTAAGCATAGTAGTCACAATTGCCTAATGCACCATGACGGAAAAGCACCATTCTAAGCAATTGAGACAATCAATTAGAAACCATTTTCTTGTTTTGCAATTTCAGTGCTAACTACAGTGTGGTTTTTGTTTTATTTTGTTAACATACAAGACAGTGTGGTACATCTGGCACTCAGACCTGTAGTCTATGGTAATGCCGAATATAACCAGCAGAGTTAAGTTGGATTTCCCTGTTATTAGAGTATGTGAAATACATTATTTTATAGCTGAATAGACAGTTCTGGTAGGAAGCCAAACCTATCAGAACTGGTGTGCTCATCTGTCTAGCTGAAGTTTTTACATGAAGAAAGTCATAGCCGTATGAAGCTCTGCACAAAACTAGAGCTCATAAATTTCCAGAAAAGAACACAGTGTTTTTCTCACTCTTTTCTTCTGGATTAGAGTAGTTTGAGTTGTGTGTGTTCATGTATTCATTTCTTTGTCTTCATTACCTTTTAATATATGAACCTGTGTTTTCAGGAATGCTTTATAGAAAAGGAAACCCAAATACTTTCCCACTAAAGCACAGCCTTTTTTCTGGCAGGGGCTACACAGCTAAGTTCAGGTTTACCGCTGACAGCAATCCATTCATGGGACCTAAACCTGAGCCTGTCCAGTTATATCGTATCTGAAGTATACAGTTGTCTTGAGAGCTACTGGAAGGTGAGACAATCTGTGATGCAGCTGTCTCCAGTTTATTAAGTGGTTGTAAGTTAGATCCAGGGCTTTAAACTATGCTTCAAATGAATGGGAAGCCAGGGGAATTTGTAAAGAGATAATATCACATCTTATTAACCCTTTCATGGCAGTTGCCTCGGAAACAATGAGTTGCAACATTCAATACCAAAGCAGTGGAAATGAGGATCCTCGTGGGTCAGTCCTCATCTGAGCAAAGGTGAGAATGATAAGGGAAAGACAGAAGCAAGCATTTCTTGCTATTGTAGCAATCTGTATATTCAGCAGTGATTAGGTATTGAGTAAGGCCTCAATGGTGATGATCTGCATTCTCATGCCCTTGAATCCTGATAGTTTTAACATATTGGCAAATGTCT